ATAAAATAAATCATGTTTTATAGTATTTTAATCACATGAGACACAGCAACAATTTTCCCCTTTTTAGATTATGGGTATCTACATATTTGATTTCATAACTAATGAGCACAAAACATCCCATATCTAATTGTACGTATGCCATCTGGATCTCTTTTTTTAATCGATCCCTCCCCTTTTTCTCGCTTTTTCTTTCTGTCTCTCTTCCTCTCTGCTTTTATTCCAATGATACAAGCCGACATGAGGCTGCAGATCTCCTTGCTACATTGACCTGATGTGTCTTCATTCTTTCCACGCTTAAACCGCTTATTGCACACAACTATACAAGGGAGTCTGGGAGGTCAAATCTCAGTGACACAGTGGAACAAATGTGCCTCGTCACAATAGTATACATTAACCTAGTTTACTATGTTAGCTAAAACTGCTCCCTTTTAGTAAATGGGTAGAATTTTATAATTAAGATTTGAATGGAAAACAAAAATTTGGTTTTTTGGGTTTTTTTGGTAAATGTTCATAGAGCTTCTGTTTACAAGGATAAGGACTGATTCCTTTTTCATGCATATTGAATGACTTCAGCAGTGGAAGTGCAAACCTTAAGTGAAACAGAGTGAATTTGTTGGCAGTTGTTGGGTTAGAACGAAGGTCGGGATGTTTCCTGCAGGGAGAAGGATTTGAACAGACAGGCTCAGGGATTTTACCAGGAGGTTTCCTCTTACTGTGGAGTCTTTGACCCTTGAGCTCATTAAAACACTGAAGCATGATCAGGGAAATGGTCTTTTCCCTACTGCACCTTCCTGCCCTCTCACCATAGCACAAAAGAAAGCCAAGGATTAAAGCTTATCACTTTTCACCTTCTCATAGCACCGTGCTTCATGCCTCCTTAAACATGGGCATATTCATCATTTAAACATTTTTCAGTTTGACATTGATTTTTGGGAGCGAGCAAACATTTCGAAACTATTTGATTGGAGGCATCCGTTCATTTAAAAACATAGTGCAGTATTTTTAGTATTTTGCCATATTTGAGTGGTTATCAGCAAGTGTAGGCGACATAGAACAAGATGGTGAAATGGTAATATAGTGAAATTAGTCAACCCACCTACTTTGGGAAGTAGCACCAAGAAAGAGTGAGAAATGGCTCAGAAAGGTCAACAGTATGCATATTTTCTCAGATTCATCGAACACTGGAAATGGAAGAGGAGAGAAAACAAGAGGCCAAGTAGTATGTAGGCGGCATTGAGCCCTTATATAAAAACAACTGTGTTACATTAGCTAGTCATAACTATCTCCATGGTTGTTGATGACCTTCTTAGGTACAGCGAGAATCTGTTAAACAGCCTAAAGTGCAACGTTGACAAAAGAAAAACATGATGTTAATGAAAGTAAAGAAAGTAGAGCTGCTACAGTAAATATATAACAACATAAACTCCATCCTTCCTGGCTACCTTAAGTCGTTGTCTTCACTTCTTTCACTGCTGCAGCTGTTTAATCAACCTTATTTTTCATCAACTTTATTTTTCAACTCATCTCATATGGCACCTCCTCTCACCTTTGTAGGAACTGAGTCAGGACAGCACCGCTGACTTCAGACTTCAGTCTGGATAGAGTTGTTTCTCAACCCATATTCATCACTGGTCCATCATTTCATGTTATTTCTGACCTAATCAATGGCATTGATCTCTGATGTATGCTGTGAGGGAGTCCTGCTGACTTTCCAGAACACTGCAATGCCATTAAATATACATTACTGCATAAAAATCCTACGTTCACTAAAGTGTTCCTGAGAGAATTTGAATCAAATAAGTTATGGATAGATTTAAAAAATGAAAGGACACATAATTGCAAATCCCAAATATTCACTAACTCTATCAATGACAGTTCATTTAATCTGCTTCACAATTTGGACACAAGAAAGGACAAGTGACTCCATACAGCTCCTGGAAATATTAGGAAAGGACCTTATTTGCATGTTGTCCAGCCCACTGATTAGGAGTTACTACAGTACCACACAGTACCCCAGTAGGTGAGCTCCATTTTCTCCTTAATCTTATGTTGTTAAGTGTGTATTTTACCCATACTCATCTTCTTTTAATCAAATAGTTTTGGTGCCTAATCAAAATTAAGCAGTTTGTGATAAAAAACAAAAAAAATGTTAGATTCAAAAGGATACCTCAACTCGCCTGTCATTCCAGGTGTCAATCCAAACATCGTTGTTGGGAAAAGAGGCTTTCCTGCCAGCAGAAAACAAAAGACAAAAGACAGAATTAAGTGTAATTAAAGGCACTTTATGTACTACTGACACCTCAATCATCTGCTCCACATACGCAGTACGTCTTGAAGTTCCTCTAGTTACTCATAGGTGTGCAGCTCATATCTGTTTATTCAAAACAGCAATCATCTCCCTGAGCTGAGTGAAGCTATTTGCTTCAGCTGGCAGCTTATCTTGAGTATATGTGATAGCAGTCAACCTCTGTCCCAGGATGTTAGCTTCAGACAGCAGCAGCTAAACAACATGAGTAAAATAACCCTCATCTTCGCGGTCTGCAAAGTTGTGAAAACTGGGGGATTTGCAAAACGTGTTTATAGAATTACATGACCGTGTGAAAGGTTTTGCAAGGTTTCCATGTTGTTTGCGCTACGCTCAAGATCCATTTTGGATATATGCAGAGTCAAGTATTGATGTACTAATATAAGAGGCTTTCATGTGTAAGGACTATGAAAAAATAATGACATGGCTGCTTTGTAAACACAGTACTTTATCTTTTAACAAACACTGGAAATACTCGAAAAACTGAATGTGACAGCATAGCTCACGATATTATCTTTGTGCTGTAATAATGGGTTTTTTCCTTTTTATAACATCCAGAGCTGTAGCAACATTCACATTCATTTATATGCATGCAAGTCTATACACGTGCTTGACTTTTGTGTGAGGGGAAACATGTGGACACACTATTTGTCCAGCTGATTGTATTCAACCCTCAGGACAGCAAAATCCCATTGCAGTGCAGAGCTGGAGGGGTGTTTGTCCACCTGCGTGTGCTTGTGTAGGTATGTGGACTCCTGTGGGAAAGGCAAGGGTCATTAAAGTGATGCAGTGAAGGTTGCGATGCAAGGTTGATCTGCCTCCACCCACCTAGACAAAATGCGTCCACTATATTTGTGTGTTGCTGTACATACAGTACATACATTCTCTATCTTTTGTGTTAGTTTTCCTTTTCTCAGGTACAATATGGTGTCCAGTCTTTTGTATGTGTTGTGGCACTAAGCTGAAGGGGTGTCCCAGGGCAGCATGTGTGAAGCAGAGGTCAGAAGTTATTCAGGAAAGGACGCAAAGCAGTACGCCAGCACTCATGTCGCACACCAAAGCTTATTTATTTACAAAGATCACCAAATCGTCCTGTTTTTCATGTTTCTCGTTTATCTGTATGTACATGAATGTTGAATCTCAATATGCCTGCGTGTTAATGTTTCATCAAACCATTGCAACGATTTGATGTGTCACTAAGTGTAAAGCTTAACTACAGTGTGTGTGTCTTCTGGGTGGCGTTACTGTGGCCAGAACAGGCGAAAGCATTAACCTTTAGCCATGACAGTGTAACCCAGAGGATCTCTCTGTCATTCAAGGAAATGTCACAGTCAAAAGAAGCCTCCTAAGAGCTCCCCTTGGAGACGCATACACTCTTAGTGGTTTATGCCACAGCCTGAGCTGTAGTCTATCTTCACAAAACAAATATTTAAGTAAAATATAAATGTTGAGTGTTTTTAATATGCAAAAGTGTTTGGAAAAGTATAAAACCGTTTTCAGCTTCATCCGCTGCTACATTGTTGTATTAAAACTGCTCTTGTAGCTCTGAGCATGTCTTATAAATTGGCATACGAATACTGCTGTGTAATTCGTTATCAGCTTCTGTCCCACGCGCCCTGTGCTCCCTTCTTGTCACAAGATATGAGCTTCCTATCGTCTTTGTTCAGCCGTAGCAAAAAATAATTTGATTGTTGCAGGTGATTTAAAATGTAGGCGACTCAGGGTTCATGCAGCTTTTATGGCTGTGATCATATTCTTGCTTTAAACTTTACCTCGTCTCTGTCTAATTATGGTACAAAGAGGAAAACAAGTCGACATCCAGTCTTTGAGCTTTTAATTTATTAGTAATTATTTTAAAAGCTGCTGTCAAACTTTATATGTATGTAGGCAGAATTTTAACAGGAATTCAGTTTGTCCTTTTTCTTTACTGCCCAGCATCTCATCAAGGATATTCTGAAAGTGCCTTTTGTGAAAAATATGTAAAAATGTAGATGTGAATTTGAGTCGTTTTGTATAGCAACCAAGCTGCTAATACACAATCATGCAGCTTGTATTGTAGGGACACGGATCTGCAGAAGAATAATTTTCTAATAATTACATCATCTTTATTTACATTGTTGCAGACATGTTCACAGATATTACTTATATGGTGTATAGGTTAAGGGCACAGACAAAATATCAAGTTAAATTTCTAGTTCATAAAGTGTGTACTGGAATATTTAGAGAATATTTAATAGGCTGCTGCAATGCTGTGATCTAGGTTATCATGCTTAATCATATTTTTCTTACTCTCGAGCTTAATTATTTTTTTTTTTACAAAAATAAATACTTACCAAAATGGACGAACTTAAATACCTCAACTTCTTGAAGTATAGCTGAAAATATTAGGCTGTAGAGCCTTTTATTACAGATTGTGATCAAAAATGTGGATTCAAAGTTAAGAGTATTTATAAAATTCTTCCAGCAGAAAGAATCAAATGTTATAAAAATGTGAAATTCTGATAAATTTTAAACTGTGACTGAGTGACAAGGTTGAGGTTTAGTGTAGAGTAAACTTCAGGGTTACAAATCTTATCCATGCATTTGAAAAACAGCAGGTCAGTGTTTGTCTTTGGCCTGTTTTTTTTCTTCTTTTTTTAAACAGAGACTTAAATTAAACTGAGCTAAATTTTTTGCTATTGTTTTTCCTCCACAGATCATAGCATATCAGCCATACGGTCGCTCTGTAGACTGGTGGGCATATGGAGTTCTGCTCTATGAAATGCTGGCAGGACAGGTAAGTGGTACAAACCCACATACACCTTCACAATGGAACTTTGCTGTCTACTAACACCTTCACACAGAAACAAGGTTTCTCACAGATTGCTCACACCTACATCTTTCCCACATATCTTAGAAGCAGCACGGCTCTGCTGGTGCCTAAATGAATTCAGATGGTGATGGTTAGTAAAGATCTCAACGCCAGATCATCATAAACACGTGGTATATTAATATAGACACCTTTTAATGTATTAGGTTTAGTTTTAGAAATAAATCTCTTTACGCAGTCACAATATTATGGCTTACCGTCCTTTTGTGAACAATAACTCAAATCCTAATAACATAAAACATCGCATTTTGAGAGTGAAAACCTGGCAAGCACTAAATGACATTATAATAGTACTTCAAACCCTTTGACAGACAAGTATTTTGACATAATTCTACTCTTAAACAACACTGGTTGGTTCAAGTCTTCTTATGGTGAGCTTGTTCCGGACCTCTTTTTTGTTTTACAGTACTACTGTTCTTGTTTATTTATGGATGCAGCATGGTGTGCTGCGAGGAGACATGAGTCAATATTCTTCAGGTAAACACATCAATAACATGTTGGCTGGTACAGAAGTGCTTCTTTTAGAATAAGTGCAAGTCAAGAGAAGGTGGACATGAAGCTTTCTGAGGAGGTTTTCATGTACTGCATCTGGAGTTACTAGTTAAGACTTTCTCTTTCCTTCAAATTATAATTTGTGTGCAAGCTAGGCCAGTAAAATTTTCTAACTTGACCCAACTTTTTTGACCCCTGATGTGTTTGGGAAGCTTAATTATCTACTGTTATGCTAATATAGCATCAGTCTGAAAATGATAACGGCCCACACGTTGGTTAAATTGTTTTAACTTAATACACTGTTTATTAATATATATAACAATTCATAGTGTCATAGTCATCAACGAATCAGTACAAAAATGACTTTAAATCACTTTAAGACATTATTGAGTCAAAGTGAAGCATCTTTAAAAAGGCCCAGAGTAAATGCAAAAGCATAATTGTATAGTTTACGTTAATCTAATTAACTCAGAAAGCAAGTGGCTGTTAAACAATTAACAAAGACTTTATTCAGACGTTCCCTTCCTCTGTCCCTGCCTTGTGTGAAATTGGGTAAAGGGGGCATGACGCAGACAGGCTACCTCTAGTCGAAGAGGCCAGCGGAGTGGAAATGACGAATAATTCATTTTATGGACTGTCAAAACACCCACATTATGGTTACTGATGATAACAACCCAGTGAGCAGGGGAAGAGAGCTGGGTCATCCACTCCATTTTTCCCTGCAAGGTCTTCCTATGAAACTTATTCTCCACTAATAATATTTTTCATATTTTTATTGTTCTTAGTGTTTTGTTGTTGTCTTTATTTGTACGTAGCTCTGTTCAGTTGAACTGTTTTTTCTGCTCTCTTTTTATTAATAAGAGAAAACTGTTGAGTTTACTTGTCTATAAAAGAAAGTACAAACTGCAAATGTTTAGAGAGCAGCAACCATTTATTTATATGTTGCGTGTCCTAACACACTTAGTATTTTTTGACTCACAGCCTCCATTTGATGGTGAAGATGAGGATGAGTTGTTCCAGTCCATTATGGAGCACAATGTGTCCTACCCCAAATCGATGTCCAAAGAAGCTGTCTCCATCTGCAAAGGGGTGGGTGAACTTGACAATGAAACATGATTTGCCATTCATCACTTTTTGTGGTTCAGCAGAAATTAGGGCTGTTCGATATAACGATATTTATCGGATGACGATATAAAAACGTCTATCGTTTCATTTTACGCTATCGTTTGTTTCGTGGTGTCGCAAAATAAACTGTTTACGGCAA